TCTTGCTTTATTCCCTAGACTGACCTTGAACTTAACCGCTTATTTGGTTTTTATTTAGCTCGGGAGTTTTTATATAGCATGAGTTTAATTTCCATCTTAGCTCTTCTGTATCTTGTATTTAAATATTGTGAGAGGTTTTTTTGTTTTGTTTTTTATTTTGAGAAAATGTCTTGCTATGTAAGCTACACTGACTTTGAGCGTGTAGTAATTCTCCTGCCTCTTAGTCTTTCCTGCTGGGATTATAGGTGTGCACCACTATAACTATTAGATTCTGTAGTCTTTTTTTTGTTTGTTTGTTTGTTTTGTTTTGTTTTGTTTTTTTGTTTTTGTTTTTGTTTTTTGAGACAGGGTTTCTCTGTAGCTTTGGAGCCTATCCTGAAACTCCCTTTGTAGACCAGGCTGCCCTCGAACTCACAGAGATCCACCTGCCTCTGCCTCCCGAGTGCTGGGATTAAAGGCGTGCGCCACCACCGCCCGGCCTAGATTCTGTAGCCTTAATATTCTTTTTAATACATTGTCATTTCATGGAAACCAGTACTGTCTTTACTTCTAGGACAAATCTGTTGCCTTTAAGATTTTTGAATTGGGACTGAAGAAATATGGAGACATTCCAGAATATGTCTTGGCTTATATTGACTATCTTTCTCACCTCAATGGTAAGTTGATTCTAGAATCTTTTCAAGATTCACTTATGTTATTTTGTGTTTTGCCTGCATGTTATGTCTGAGCTAATGTGGGATTTCTTTTAAGCGTCTTTCTTTATCATTATGTCTGTGTACCCAGGTCTCTATTGCCCTCAGAGGTCAGAAGAGGGCATTGGATTCTCTAAAACTGAAGTTACAGATTGATGTCAGCTGCCATGCAGGTGCTGGGAACCAAACCCAGGTCCTTTGAAAAAGCAGCCAGTTTCCTTAGCCCCTGGGCTATCTCTCTAGTCCTTACCATGGTTTTTTAATATTAAACAATCTGAAATTATGTACCTTGGGTTTGGGTTGGTTTGTTTTCTTCTTAAAGTGTTATAATTCCAACATTACACCAGAAATAGCTACTTGGTAGGCATCTAGGAAATATCCATGAATTCAATAGTTTAGTTTTTAGACAGGGTCTTGCTATATAACACTAGTTGGCCTTAAACTTGATATGTAAACCAGTTTAGCTTTGAGCTAACAGAAATCCAACGTGCCTACATGTTTGTTACCATACCTAATTTATGGTACTGGCATTGAGCCCAATGTCTTCAGCATGCTAGGCAAATGTATATATTAGTCAGGGTTCTCTAGAGGAACAGAACTACTATAGAAGGAGTATGTACGTGTGTGTGTGTGTGTGAGAGAGAGAGAGAGAGAGAGAGAGAGAGAGAGAGAGAGAGAGAGAGAGAGAGAGATTAGAATGATTTATAGACTGTGGTCCTGTCTACAAGAGAAGGTCCAATAATCCAGTAATTGTTAAGTTCATGTGACTGGATGTCTAAGCTAGTCTTCTGTATATGCCAGAATCCTGAAGAAGTAGGCTCTAATGTCAGCAAAGGAATGGACTACCCAACAACAGCAAGAACAAGCAGGCAAGGAGTGAAAGCTTCCTTCTTCCATGCCCTTAATATAGTGTGCCACCATAAAATGTGGCCCAGATTAAAGATGGATCTTCCTCAAAGATCTGAATTAAAAGTAGGTCTTCCCACTTAAAGAAAGTATTTCTAGGTGGTGCACTCTGGAGCAGAGGCAAGTGAATCTCAGTGAGTTCAAGGCCAGCCTAGTCTACAAGAGCTAGTTCCAGGACAGGCTCCAAAGCTACAGAGAAACCCTGTCTNGAGAGAGAGAGAGAGAGAGAGAGAGAGAGAGAGAGAGAGAGAGAGAGAGAGAGAGGAGAGAGGAGAGAGGAAGAAGGAAGAAGAAGAAGAAGAAGAAGAAGAAGAAGAAGAAGAAGAAGAAGAAGAAGAAGAAGAAGAAGAAGAAGAAGAAGAAGAAGAAGAAGAAGAAAGAAGAAGAGAGAATTTCTAATGGGTACACCCAGCCACTTGGGTTTGTAATCAAGTTGACAACCAAGAATAGCCATCACATCAAGCATTCTACCAACTGAGCTCTCTCATGTGTGTCTCTGTAAAAATTATTGATAGTTCAGGATATATAACTTCTTGAAAAAGAAAAACAACAACTAGGCCAGCTGGAGAAATGGCTTGGCAGTTAAGAGTTATTGTTATTCTTGAGAAGGACCTGGGTTTGATTCCTAGCAACGATGTGGTGGCTTGTAGCTGTCTGTAACTCCAGCACTAGGGGATCTAAAAGGCATGTACATGGTATATATACATGTTTACAGGCAAAACTGTCATACACACAAAAGAAATCTAAAAAATAAAAATACTGACCTTGTATAAAAGTTTTTTTAAGACAATTTATATTTACTTGTATATGAGGTTAGGTATGTAAACTTAAAACTATAGTTTTTCCATTGACAACATGGTTATAATAATGAATACCTTTCATAAAACTGAGAGGATCAAGTAAGTTCTTGCATGTATTTGATTTATATGTGGAATATGGGAAGCAGTAACTATAGCAGAGTCTGAATGGTGCACTGTGGGGCATGAAGATGACAGTTCCAGCTCTAGAGTTGTTCTGAGTGGTTTGAAGTTACTGAGCAGGTGAAGTGTACCTGAGCCAAGCAGGATGTGTGTGCCAGATTCCAAGACTTAATTCAAACAAAAAAATAAATAAGAAGAATGTAAAATATTGTGATTTTCATATTGTTTACATGTTGAAAAGACAGTTTGGATATGCTTGGTTAACTACTTAAGATAAATCTTACCCTCTTAGTATGGCTAGCAGAAGTTTGAATGACACTCCACTGCATTCCACTGTGCGGGCAGCACTATCCCGAGGGTCCACAAAAAGTGTGTGAGCTGGGTCTTTTTTATTCTGTTTTGGTTTTGGTTTTTTTGAGGCAGGGTTTCTCTGTAGCTTTGGAGCCTGTCCTGGAACTAGCTCTTTAGACCGGGCTGGCCTAGAAATCCCAGAGATCCCCCTGCCTCTGCCTCCCTAGTGCTGGGATTAAAGGCGCGCACCACCACTGCCCGGCCATGTGAGCTGGGTCTTGAAGATGAACAATGGTTAGCCAGATGAAGAGAAGAGAAAGCGTCTTTGCAGCCAGACTACACAGCAAGTAGTGAGCAGGGAGGAGGTTTTGGGGTAGTAAAAGGGTTGTTTGAAACAAAGCTTGGATTAAAGCAAGGATAAAATGTAAGATTTAATACGATTTTTAAACATATGGGGCTGGAAAGATGGCTCAGCAGCTGAGAGCACTGGCTGCTCTCGCAGAGGACCTGCAGTCTCAGCACCCGGTGAGACTCGGCAGTGGAGGCTGACAGCTTCAGTCTTAGGGACCCAACACTCTTTCCTGGCTTCCACGGGGATTGAGTGCAAGTGGGGTGCAGACAGAAATGCAGGAGAAGTACTCACACATAAAATAAAAATAAATAAATTTAAAAATACACTATGTTCCTTGAAGTCATGAATATGACCTCATGCCATCTTCTTTGGATGAATATATTTAATCTTTATGGACTTATCTTTCATATGGACAGATAGTAAATCAAGTGGCTATGCTAAGACATTTATAATTGATCATGCTACTGGATTTAAAAGTTATTGAATTATCATTTAGATACAATGAATATATTCATTTTAAGTGTACAATTCAGTTATTAAATTCTGCTAGATTCTTAAATTTTTAAAAAAAATAGACCTTGAATTTACAAGAAAAGTCCTGCTTTCAATTTACCAAGGAACTCCTGATACTTACAATTTAATCCGCTTCTAACAACAATTCTTTAATTCATTTACTATTTACATGTCTACCTCCCAACCTAAATATTATTGCCCTTCTACGAGGAGATGAAATAATAATAGGAAACTAAATTGTGTCTAATTTGCCATCCTTCATACTATCTCTTATGTCAACAGATAAGTAATTCTAATTCATTTTGAAAGACAAATAGGACCTGTGGTTCCTACATCACAGTTTGCATTGCACTGTCGTGCAAACCGGGGCTCTGTTTCAGGTGGAAAGATCTTGCTTCTGGTAACAGCCTTGTTACTCGACAACAGTGAGCCGAGTCCAACTCCTTGGGTATAGTTGGTGTTTGTTTGTCTGAGACAGGGGTCTCAATACATATCTTTGGCTGGCCTGAACTCAGTGTAGACCAGGCTGGCCTAGAACCTACAGAGATCACTCCACCTCTGCCTCCTGAGTGGTGGAATTAAATAAGGGTTTTCTCTACCAGTCTCTCAAACTCAGTGATTTTCAACCTCCAAATTTCCTTCTGTGAAGTCAGTTGTCACAAGTTGTTTTTCTGCATTGGATTTTTGTGAGAATTAGCTGAGATAAAGCTTGGAGTTTTGTTTTGCTTTTAAAAAATAATTGTTGAGGGGCTGGAGAGATGGCTCAGAGGTTAAGAGCATTGCCTGCTCTTCCAAAGGTCCTGAGTTCAATTCCCAGCAACCACATGGTGGCTCGTGACCATCTGTAAATGGGGCCTGGTGCCCTCTTCTGGCCTTCAGCCATACACACAAGACAGAATATTGTATACATAATAAATAAGTAATAATTTAAAAAAATAATAATTGTTGAATTGTAAAACTTTCTTTGATTTAACATTAATTTTTTTTTAAATATCCTAGAGGACAATAATACCCGAGTTTTGTTTGAACGAGTTTTAACATCTGGAAGTCTCCCTCCTGAGAAGTCTGGGTAAGTCCTGCAAAATGTGTGAGCTCCAGTCTGTGGGACTGTGCACTTGAGTGTGCATTTCAGGAGAAATTTCTTTTCTGTCTAATTAATTTATTAAATATTTTACTATATATATCTTTCTGTTTTAATATTTCTAAAGCTTTCTATATTGGCATTCTGGAATGTATCTCCTTAGTGGAAAGCAAAGACTCCTCTGTATTGGTATGTTTATCTAAGTTGTCCTATTACCAATAAAACTCAGATATTGGTATAAATACCTGATCAATCAAGAAAGCAGTGGAGGGGCTGGAGAGATGGCTCAGTGGTTAAGAGCACTGCCTGCTCTTCCAAAGGTCCTGAGTTCAATTCCTGGCAACCACGTGGTGGCTCACAACCATCTGTAATGAAGTCTGGTGTCCTCTTCTGGTCTGCAGACATACACAAAGACAGAATATTGTATACATAATAAATAAATATTTAAAAAAAAAAAAAAAAGGAAAGAAAGCAGTAGAGGAATGACTAGCTGACCCTCTCTCCACACTTCCCAGATCAAAAAGACCATGAAAAATCCAAGTCTCCCTTTCTCTTTCCTATGCGTCTCCATCTATATTTCTGAATTCTCTATGGCTAATTCCTGTCTGTTATTTCTGACTACACCCCCGATTAAGGTTAACTCTAACAGTTTGGGAGTTTAAGTGCGATCAAATATCCTGCAACAGCTAGTTTTCCATGTTCCATCCCTCCTGTGGCTCTGACTGTGCGGGAGGCAACGTGGCCTATTGGCTCAGCCAACACAGTAGGATTTGCATCTTGACTCAGCACCTTACTAATTTTCATTTTCTTACTGAATCATAAACATGTCTAGCAGTGTGGAAGTTCTGTAGTTCCTCTTACATTATAGGTACCCAGTATCTTACTTTAGGTGCCTGTGGCATTAAAGTAATCTGAGCACATTAAAACAGCAATGTACACAGTTTGTCCTCGGTGAATCAATCATAGACTCATAGTAGATTTTGGAATATATGTTTATTCATACATTAGATGAAGAAAATCTTCTACAACATAATTTATGCCACTAAGTAAAATAATGAAGCCACATTATACAGGAAAAAGTTATCGAACTCTGTCTAGGTTCTTTTTCTACCAACAATTTATCCTCTGTAATATCTTTTTTTTTTTTTAAGATTTATTTATTTATTATGTATACAGTGCTCTATCTGTATGTATGCTTGCTGACCAGAAGGGACACCAGATCTCATTATAGATGGCTATGAGCCACCATGTGGTTGCTGGGAATTGAACTCAGGACCTCTGAAAGAGCAGGCAGTGCTCTTAACCTCTGAGCAATCTCTCCAGCCCCTGTAATATCTTTTTTACTTCAAATAAGAAGATTGTGTGTGTGTGTGTGTGTGTGTGTGTGTGTGTGTGTGTATGAGACAGAGAGAAAGAGATAGCCTCCAACTCAGGAAAGGGCATGAATGTCCAAATATTTAGTTTAGTAAAGTACTGTGTCTGTACTTGACTTTCAAATACTCAGGCAAAATTAAAGCTTTCAAATGGCGGGGGAATAACAGTTATTAAGCCTAATGAAGACAAGTATTCATTGACTTATCCTATTATTCTATTATTAGGAAATCTTTATTTTAAAACAAACTTTATGACTAAATATTGGTTATATTTACTTTCTTACAGAGAAATCTGGGCTCGGTTTTTAGCTTTTGAAAGTAATATTGGTGATTTAGCTAGTATACTCAAAGTGGAAAAGAGACGGTTTACCGCATTCAGAGAAGAGTATGAAGGCAAAGAAACAGCCTTACTCGTAGACAGATACAAGTTCATGGATCTATACCCTTGTTCTGCAAGTGAGCTCAAAGCACTGGGCTATAAGGTATGTGCTTAGCACCAAGATATATTTGATATCTCCACTTGCCCAATGTTTTTTTAAGAGTTCATAGATTATTTTCATTCTGAGATCAGTTCTTTACTATGGTACTTAATAAGACAAAAATAACCCAATGATTTTATTGTTTATGAATATCAAATATAACAAAATTGAAAATTAAATGTTTGAGATAGAGAGAGTAAATGCTCTCACTGTGTGTCTGGAACTGTCCGTGCCTTATGTCTGATGGATAATGGAGAAAAGTCTTAATGTGACCGTTAGTACTGTCTGTTTTTTGAATAATTCTTATCAACTGATGAATATTTTTGATGGATCGTCAACTAGATGTATTTGCTGTTGCATATTTTGTCAAGACACCATGAAGGGACGTGGCCAGGCATGGTCATGCACTCATAACCGCAAACCTGGGAAGGATTTGGGATGGGAAGAGTGGAGGGTTGTAAATTTGAGGTCAATCTAGGCCATCCAAACAAAGCAAAACCACAGCTTGCTAATGTACAACGTTCCTTGAGAGACCTGAGCTTTCTTTCTCCAGCAGCCTCTGGGGGACTGGCTTCTCTAAAAGTGGTCCTCATCTACGTAGATGACTGACCCATAAGAAAACTAATTTAGTCCCTGGACCCAAATGTTTCTGAAGCCTCAGAAATAGCCCTTGTAGAAAATACCATTGGTTCTTCAGTCTTGGTCTTTTTGTGCCCTTGGCATGAATAAAGGTCAAGGAAGAAACTCCCAGGAAAGCTGTCTGTCCGTGAGTCTGAGGCTGGTCCCTTTAAATCAGCTAGCAATAGGATGTCCTTGGCCATCCTTCTTTTCCTCACCGCCCTTTTGGCCTGAGTCTCACTCTCAGTCTGAACCAGACTAAAAACGTTGAGAAAAATTATACATAATTTAGCTTTAGACCTTTTCTAATGGTCTAAATGAAAGCTCCAATTCTGCACCAGCCCCATAATTCTATTCTGAATCAAAGGATTTCTAATAACCTGCATCTCACTGTTAAAAAAAGAGAACTCCTGCCTTTACTTTACTTCTCAGTAGAAAAAAAAAAGTTTTAAAAATTATTAGAAAAGACCAATTTTTTCTAGGATAAAAGTGGTTTTCAGTTGTTTAATGAAAATAAAGAGACACAGCAAGATGGTGGTTAGTGGGTAATGGAGCCTAGGACCTGAGTTCAATCCCTGGAGCCCATGCGATGGAAAGAGAACCAACCCCTCCAAGTTAAACTCTGACAAACACATGTGCACCTATATGTATGATACACATGCATAAATAATAATTTAAAACAATGTTGGGGGCAGACAAATAATTGCCAGGCTTGATGGTGCATAGCTTTATTCCAACATTCCAGAGACATGGGCAGTGTGTCTCTCTCTTATTTCTGTAAATTCAAGGACAGCCTGCCAGAGATACATGAGATCCTGTCAAAAAAAAAAAAAAAAAAGAAGAAGAAGAAGAAATTTTCCAACTAGAACTACTTTTTATCATGAACTTTGCAGCCTGTATTTCCATTTCTGCCTATATTTGGGAAGAACTAGAGCACTTTGCCATATGGTATTTGGTATAGTAAGTTGTGTGCCAAAGCGAGCAATTTCACTGTGCCTTCTCATTTAGATTTGCTCACATAAAAGCCACGTCACCAACTGTGTCAGCAGATTTGAAGGACTGAAATTGATAGGACTTGTTAATAGGTGACTGTACAGCTCCTCTAAACTACCTTAGAGAGGGTCCTGCTAATATTGGAACAGTCAGAGGGTGGGCTCCCAGTCCTCTCCCATGGCATGAGTGTTAGCGATGCCCTAAATACAGTCTAGTCAACCTGACAAATGGAGCTGCTAGTTACCTTCCTCTTCTTCTCTGCTCTTAGAAGAAAGTTCACTACATTAGCAAAGTGCTACTTGTGGTATAGCTTCAGTGGTCATGCTCATCGGGGCCTGGCTCCCCAGCCTCTGTTAGGTCATGTTGTTGACCAGTCATAAAAGAGGGGTTACTTCTTCTCCAGCCTGAAGCCCAGGGCATGGACAACCCCCCTGGGGTGCTTACCAAGGGTAAAGTGGGTTTCAGCTTCCCTGGCCTGGATGCCCAGGGCATTACTAGCCAGTATAGGTGCAGATAATCCTTCTCTTGGCTTTCCTGAAGCAAGACTTCACTTAATCCAGGCTTCTTAACTGAAATGTTAACCAATTCCAATGGAAGGGAGGTATCAAAATCTAAATCTTGTTGGGCAGTGGTGGCGCACACCTTTAATCCCAGCACTTAGGAGGCAAACCAGGTAGATATCTATAAATTTGAGGCCAGCCTGGTCTAGAGTGAGTTCCAGGACAGCCAGCGCCACATTCCCACAACTCCTCCCACAAAGGTTTATCTCTGTTCTGCAAGGACTTTGCCTGGAGACAGTCCAGTGATTCTTTGCTGGGGTTAAAGTTAAACTTTTTAAAGTGCAACCTTCAAAGCCAATGGCTTCCCTTGTTGAGTACTGAACAGTCTGTATCATCCTGAGATTTCCTGCTTATCCTTCTCCACACTTCCTGTGCTTAGAGCCTGGGTTTTCTTGCTGTACCTGAGACGATAGAGTTGCACAATCCTCTGTAAGACCCTTTTCAGGTTCAGGGTTCCTCTGCTCTGCATTTCCAGGACGTCTCCCGTGCTAAGCTAGCAGCTATAATTCCAGACCCAGTTGTAGCTCCTTCTATAGTGCCTGTTCTCAAAGATGAAGTGGACAGAAAACCAGAGTACCCTAAGCCAGACACTCAGCAGATGATCCCGTTTCAGCCACGGCATTTAGCACGTAAGACTCAGTACTGAGAACTCGGTTTGTTTAATTTAAATTGAATGGGGGTGGGGGGGTGACCTGAACTTTTCCACTGTAGGTTAATTATTAGACCTAGGGTCACAGTGACAAGTGACTTGACAGTAATAGTTGAGCCAGATGAGCTAAGAATTTAAAAACTCACCAAGCTCCGAGTGCTGCGGACTCTAGTAGTCCAGTGCCAGCGCAGCTCAGAAACGCGGTGATGTGCAGATTGCTTGGCCGACTGGAAACCCTGTGGCCGTGCTATTCTGGACCGTAGTTGTGAATGATGGTGGTTAGCGGCCCTCTTTGAACAAGACCCTTTGGATTCGATGTGCTATTGAATAACTGGCCTTAAGCAATGTGTAACTCAAAAATGTCCTTCAGTTCAGCCCTGGCCTGCTTTACCTGAAGCCACCTGTCTCTTTTCCTGCATTTCCTGGCTGGCCCAGTTCAATTGGTCGTAGGGGAAGGCACCAGAACCCTTTTTCAGTGTTCAGAAGAAAGCAGCAGGGACAAGGGAGGTGTGCAGGTCGCTTGGTTTCAGCTTTCTCCTGCAGAAACAGCAGCCACTTGTTTCATGCCTGCCTTCTCTCTCAGCTCCAGGCTTACACCCGGTCCCCGGTGGAGTGTTCCCAGTGCCTCCTGCAGCTGTTGTTCTAATGAAGCTGCTCCCTCCTCCTATCTGCTTCCAGGTTTGTTCACTGTGCACACTGATTCTGTGGGCCACAGTAATTCTATGCTTTTTCTCTTGTATAATGGGAAGTACAAAATAGTCAATTCATCGGATAACTGAGATTAAATTTCTTCATGTCATAATAGGGTCCTTTTGTACAAGTGGATGAACTGATGGAAATTTTCCGAAGATGCAAGATACCAAACAGTGAGTAATAGGAGCTCCATTTTCAGTATGGGGTTTCCCAAGGAGGAGGGATCGTTCTCTTCCACTGAGGTCTCTAAAGCCAATTATCTAGTCTGCAGAAGTGCGGTGACACCTGAAGTAAACTGAGCCTTCTGTGGTGTGGGCACATTCTGATAGAATGTCACGGAGTCCTAGCTGTGGTGCGCACTGTCTGGTCTGTCTTAGTTTTAACACACCTTGTGTGGTAGCAGTCAGACAGTGAAGCTTGCTGATAGGCCAGGGAACGAGCAGAGCCCTCTTCTATGGCAGCATCACTGCGAGCACCCAGCCCTGTCCTTTTTGTCCCTGCAAGCACCCAGCCCTGTCTTTTGTCCATCCCAATAGCTGTTGAGGAAGCTGTGAGGATCATCACTGGAGGGGCCCCGGAGCTGGCTGTGGAAGGCAACGGCCCAGTGGAAAGCAGCGCTGTGCTCACCAAGGCTGTTAAAAGACCCAATGAGGACTCAGACGAAGATGAAGAAAAGGGAGCTGTAGTCCCCCCTGTTCACGACATTTACAGAGCGAGGCAGCAGAAGCGAATACGATGAGACAGTTTCAAAACCTACCTGCCTCTGAGAGAAAAGACTCTTACCCAGGATTCCCTTTTTGCCTCTTAAGTCATGTTTTAAAGAAACAAAGCTTTGTTACAATGTTTTTGGAAACAAAGTTGTATTGTCATTGGTGCCTCTATCATATGGTTCTTGAGAAACAGAAAAGAAGCCTGTGTGGATTTTGAATAAGGAAAGACCTGTCCTCTAAGAAAGGGTGGGCTTTACATAATTTACACAATGTGTTCCTCTTCAAGGGTGGCTTGTATGTGCCACTTAAGATTTGTGAGTTTTCCACAGTTTTATTTTAAAAACTGGATGACTTATGATTGCAGAATATTTTCACATTTTCTGAAAAACAGTTGTTCTCAGTTTGCTTACATAGTCCTGCCTGTTTGTTTTTATTTATGGCAGAATATATGGCATCTGTTTTGTAGTTTGACAATTTTTAAAAAGGTCCCTTGAAAAAATAAAGGACCTCAAAAACATGCCTCCTGTTTCTTTGTGTGTGTGTGTGTGTGTGCGCATTTGAATATGAGGAGAGCCCACATGTGCACACGCAGAAGCCAATGGAGAACGTCAGCTGTCTTCTGACTCTTAGTCCCTGAGACAGACACCTTCTCCCTGAACCTGAAGCGTGCCTTTTTGTTCCTAGGGTCTGCCAGTGCTGGGGTTACAGGCAAGTAGAGGCATGCCTAGCTTTTTATCTGGGTACTAGGGATCCAAGCTCAGGGCCTCAGGCCACTGGCCATCTCCCCAATATTTCTTCTTCTTCTGATTTTATGATCATAGCTATGGATACTATATTATTCATCTAATGCCATTTGCATTAAATGCTAACAGAATACTGAAAACTCATTTTCTAGCCAGGTGGTGGTGGCGCACGCCTCGGGAGGCAGAGGCCAACCTGGTCTACAGGGTTCTAGGACAGGCTCCAAAGCTATAGAGAAATCCTGTCTCAAAACAAACAAAGAGAGAGAGAGAGAGAGAGAGAGAGAGAGAGAGAGAGAGAGAGAGAGAGAGAAAAGAAGAGAAGAGAGAAAAGTCATTTTCTGTGTATTCAGACATATGTCCTTTCCTGTTTTGTTCTGGGTTTTTGATACTTTTTATTTTTTTATTATTTTTTTTTTATTTTTTGGATTCTTTGAAACAGGGTTTCTCCGTAGCTTTTGGTTCCTGTCCTGGAACTAGCTCTTTTAGACCAGTCTAGCCTCGAACTCACAGAGATCCGCCTGCCTCTGCCTCCCGAGTGCTGGGATTAAAGGCGTGCGCCACCACTGCCCGGCTTTTGATACTTTAAAAAAAAAAAAGACTATTTATTATGCATACAGTGTTCTGCCTGTGGCCAGAAAGGGTGCCAGATCTCATTACAGATGGTTGTGAGCCACCATGTGGTTGCTGGGATTAATTAAGGGCTGGGGATGCCGTTCCGAGTTTGAGTACTTGGCTAACATGGTAGTAATCTAGCATGTGGGAGGTGGAGGTGGGAGGACCAAGAGCTAAAGATCATCCTGTATGAATGACAAAGTTATCCAGGCCTGAAGGGAATTAGGGTGGAGCAAGCATGGGCCTGCACAAGCAGTCTGGGCTTCAGAGACACCCCATCTCAGAGAACAAAACAACAAAAATGGGGACAAAGTAAGCATTTTAAATATGAGGGCTGGAGAGATGGCTCAGTGGTTAAGAGTATTGCCTGCTCTTCCAAAGGTCCTGAGTTCAGTTCCCAGCAACCACATGATGGCTCACAACCATCTGTAATGAGGTCTGGTGCCCTCTTCTGGCCTTCAGGCATACACACAGACAGAATATTGTATACATAATAAATAAATATTTTAAAAAAAAATCCCCTCAACAATCAAAACAATTTCCCCAAACCGTTACAGTGAATCCATTTAGTACTATGCTGAGCATATAGTTTAGTGGCAATGGGTATATTCAGTGTCCAGATTGATTTCATCATTTATGCTGAGTCCCCTCAGCATCTGATACATGCCGGCTCCTGGCCCCGGTGACTGCCATTCCATACTCTGTCTCTAAAATGCATTTATTTTGAACACTTACAGAAGTGGAATCATATAGTATTTGGCCTTTTGTGTCTGGCATATCTTTTCTATTGTAGTATTTTCCTTTATCTTTCATTTTCTTTGTATTTGTTTATTGAGAGATGGTCTCGCTATGTAGTCTGGTCTGACCTAGAATTTGTGGTGATCCTCCTGCTTCTGCATGCCTCCACGGGTGGTTGTATGTTTTCAAGGTTGATATCAGCATGTATCAGAAATCCATTCTTTTTAAAGGCTGAATAATATTCTGTTCATGAATGCATGTTTTCCCCTCTAATCTTTATTTAATTATGTATGTATGTGTGTATATGATGTGTGTGTGTGTGGGGGGTACGTGCATATATGGTCAGCACACATATACCATGTGCTCATTGAGGTAAGAACGTAATTTCTCAGAAGTTACTTCCCTCCTTCTACCTATTGAGATCTGGGACTTGTTTGGCCAACACTTTTACCCCTACACCTTCTCTCGGCACTGTATGTTTCTTGTTTGTTGTTCATTCCTTCTTTGGACACAAACTACCTCCTCCTGTTAGCAGTGTGGATAATGCTGGGAGTTGCCTCAGACTGTCAGGTCTCTGCTTCTGCCTGTTTCCAGAAGCTGAGGAGTTGCTGTATCATTCAGGAACACCAGGGG